ATTCAATGTGGAAGAGACGTTTTGAGTTAGGATTTAGACTGAAAGCCATACTGTCAGTCTAAATCCTAGCTCGAAATGACTTTTACAAATGGGCTCCGAAGCAGTGAAAAGAAATACTAGTGATTCCAATATTTTCTCTAGAATATAAAAGACAAGGGGTACTTCCACCACCGCATTTCGTGTAGATTTATCAACCAAAAGTATAAAAAATTTTACTGCATTATACTACAAAGCGCTATAAACAAAAATACCATAACATTACTCTCAATCAAAAAACAGTACTCGATGTGATATATCTGGGTTAAAATAGTTTAGTGAGCAAGCAAAGCCATACAAGCCGAAAAAGTAATCATAATGATAATTTTTTCCAAAAAAAAAATTTTTTTTGAAAAAAAAAAAAAATTTTGTAAAATTGTTTAAAGTAAATAAATTTTAACTAATTTTCTGTTACTGAAGTGGTTGAGTTCAAGACTTTTAATAGAATTACATATATTATTACAGTTAACAAAATTTGAGTTGAACCAGAGGTTTTGCCACTTGCGAAAGCGTCGAAATGCTGCTCCATTCAGGCATTTTCCCGGTCTACTGTCACTAAATGCACCGTAACTCTTGATGCCGAAAAGACAACGCTTTATATTTTCCATATGTTGTACAAAAATTATGCCTTTAAAAATATGCTTTTTTTAAAAAATTCAAAGCGTCCGTCTTCAAAAAAAAACTGTTTTGAATTTTCGTTTTTATTCTGATACAGAAGAAAGCTTGCTATTTAGGCGTTTTACCATATTTCTGGATCTGCAAGAGATAAGCCTTCAAAGGAAGTGAAAAGGATAGAAATCTGTTGCGAATAAAGAAAACTACAAATTCTTAAAGTGACCGTGTCGGAAGTGAATCGCGTTTTTCCTCGCATTTTAGAACGGTGTAAGTTTCCCGTCAGCTTACTTTTTGAAGTAAACTCTTTTGATTGCAAAATCCGGAATCAAATGCTATAAGTAGGAGAAAAAAATGAAAAAAAACACGAGAGGTCAAGGTGTAAAAGTGTGCGAATTTGCATGGAATGGTCCATATATATACGGCTGACTTTCTCCCCATCAAAACTTCTTTTTCTAGCTTTGTGCCATAGGAACTAATCGGAAAAACACCGTGCAGAGACACCTTTCTTACGTGTTTCAAAACTTGCATTTTTCAATTTGGTGTACTACTTAAAGGTATACTGGTTTGGAATTTGACTGCCTCATGTCTCCAGTGCTTCTTACTCGGAATAAAATTCGTTTCCCCATTTAAATGAGTAGCCGAACATTTAAACTGGCTTTCATATCCGCTATTCGCCTATCGAGTCCCCTATACTGACTAACATCTACTTGTACAGGCAGTTTTCTAAACCGGATTTGATTTAATTTCCAATGTTTTCCATATTCACTGTGATTGCGCGCACATACGTATCTGCTAACAACAGCACAAGATATTTTAAATAAACATCCTTCGCTTTCAACACTCTTCTTCCTCAGTCATTGTCAAAGAATGTAAATAACAAATAGCTCTCTTAAAAATGATTTCTTTATCCAAATAATAAGTGATGCTGTAATTTCTCTCCTGATCCCTTAAAATGATTCGGTTGTTTTTGTAAATCCTTATTTAATTTCAACCAAACCAACGAAACTTACCTGTCCAACTTGAAAACCTTTAAACAACGCCCTTATCCTTGTCAGCAATCAGCTTTCTTCCAAAAAATGAAGAAATAGTCCGTCCGCTCTTTGAAGCTCTCTGGAAGCTACAAAATAGTCTTCAATCTTGAGTATTTCTTTTTGGCCCACTGACCGTGGCTTCAGCTTTGTAGTCCAACACTTCCTTTTGTAAGTAATCTTTTTTTCAATCTGAAATCACCTTTACCCTGTGGCGCAAAAAATCTACGAGACGCAGTATACTATTAGTTCTGTCCAAAATTTAATTTTTTTCACGGAATTCTGAAACTTTTCATTTTTACCACTAAAGTGTCAAGTGCCGACTTTGTTGAGAGTTTTGTTTCCGCGACTGAATTTAACGCAGATTTAAATACGCCTATTGACTTTCAATACATTTCGCTCTTCCTTAGAGTGTTCAAGGATACGAAACTCTATTTACAAGGTAAACTCTTGAGGGTAATTGCGAGGATCAGTGCTTTCTCGCCAGTAGAGTTTCAGAGTTGTCTCTTCAAGCCGCAAACTAACTAAATGTGTTCAAGAAGCCACTTTTTGACTGACTGTTGACGACTCCGAAACTGACTGCCCTAGTGATCGTGCAAGCGAGACACAAATCCGTTTTTCAAAACTTCAAAATTGTTAACAGATTTCACCTTTGCTGACTCTGCGTAGTCTAACCCCTAATAATGAAAAACGCTGGATTCTCACACCCTTTCATTCAGCAAGTCTGGCATTGGTGACACTAAAATTGGCTTGCTATTCTGTTTTCTACAAAACATACAATGTTCTTTCAACACACTTTGTCACCTACGAAGCTAAGTATAACTCCTCGACAACCTTGCTCAAAATATAAAACGTGCCTAGATGAAAACAATGGTTAGAAGAAGAACAGGAAAACACATTACTCATGACTGGTCTCTGTGAGAGGTTTCAGAAATCTTTCACAAGGCCAAAGAAAGGCTGAGGATAAGTTTACAAAGAGTTCCTAAGCTCTGAAAAACTTTCATGGTTGGACTAGAAGACTTTTGTCGCGACGGAATGCGAAAGGCACTTTATTGTACTACAGACGACACCATTCTTCTCTAGGAAGAAGCTCCCGGAGGGCAAGTAGATGATCAGTCTCTCCTCGAGACGCTTTATAAGCAGCGGGCCAAAGAGGTCGGAATCATTGTTCATCAAAGTCATCACAGAGTCGTCAGCGTTGTCAGCAAGTGTCAACAAGTACCAATCAGTGTCGGTCAACATTCATTATTGCGTTATTGATTTATCTTTTTTTAATGCGTGCCCATTAGGCAGATTCATTGTATTATTTATACTTTGTTTTTGCTTAATTACTGTATTGGGGATTAGTTTGGGAAGAGACAAAGGCTTAGTAGTCAGTGATCTCTTTCATGTATTTGTGTATTTGTATAATATACGTGCTGATAAACAATCTTAGTTAAATTACTGTGGCGTGTCACAAAGTATTGGAGTTAAACGTAAAGGATAGGTTACAGTCCTCAAGCAAGAGCTGCAGATGTTGACAACCACAACCGTGTGCAGTAAGTAGACAGATAAATACAACACAAATAAGAAGGAATAGGTTCCCACAAGGTGACACGGTAAGGAATCAAATAGTTTCTTAATTAAGAATTGTGTCGGTGACCGCGACATAACATTCTTTTTGGTCCAACAAGCCGTGAGTCGAACCGGAGCGACCTAAGGATATCCAAGGGTTACGACTACATTCAACAAAAAGAACGACCCCACAAGAAGGCAGGAAAAAACAGGCATTGAAGGATGTCCGGACAGATCAGTGCAGCTATTGAAGTCCACACAAAAGGACTCAAAGAAGAGATGGCAGAATATAGTACGTGATGTTCAACAGAACACCAACCAAAGGAAAATGATCTACAAGAACGGCTAGCAATCTTCAGATAAACAGTAGACGTAATCATCAAGAATATCGAGAAAGAAAACGAAAAATAGAGCAGAATTTTAATAAATTTGAAGGCAGATCGACTAGCAAAAAAGAACGAACTTTATCGAAGGTTTGTTGAAAGAACAAACTTTTTACAGAAATTAGCAGAAGGCCACAGAATATTGCAAGGAATATCAGTAAAAGAACGATGGAGCATACGCACGAAACGGAAAGAAAGAGGACCAGGGACTCAAAGGAACTCGGCAGAAGTATACTCAATATGCTTGAAATTATCAGAAGTGGAACTTCTCAAGTTTGGCGGCAACTTAATGAAATGGAAGGTTTTTCGGGATTACTTGAATTTGATAATTCATATGAATGGTAATATCAAGAAGATAGATAAGTTCCAGTATCTAGTTTCATTGGTGGAAGAAAGGGCGAGAATGGCCGTGGAGTTCCTTCCTCGGAACGATGAAATGTACGAAAGAGCGATCAGTATTTTAATGAAACGCTTTGGTAGCAAAAAGTTGAGCCGTTGAGCCACTTATCATCGTTCATGAGTAATCCTATCTGCTAGGACTTATTGTAAGAACTTGATGTGTTACAGAAAAACAGGTTGATTGCATTTTTCAGCAGTGTAGAGGATTCGGGCAAGTGATAGATCAAACGATAGCATTGGAGATAGCGAAGACGAGGATTGAAGGAAAAGGGAACAGGGGACTTGAGAGGTTTGTTAAGATATTTTATCGGATAGTTTAAGCTCGCGAAAGCATAGGATATGCTGCAGTACGGAAATATCAAAGGCCAGAGGAGCTTGAGAGTTCTAAGGAAATAAGGCAAATTCAGCCAAGGAAAGTTACGGCTTATAAGGTTACAGACTCGTTGCAACGAAAACCTCTGCAGTCTTGTGTGTTTTTTTAATGGTAATCAATACAATAATAAATGTACCAATTATAGAACGCTAGATCAAAGAAGACGGCGAGCTTACGAACTAGGACTATGCATTCGCTGCTTGAAATCAAAACAGAGACTTAAGTACTGCCGTGCAGTAAAGGTATGTTTTTATTTTGAGAAGGACCATAACACCGCGTTCTATGAAAAGTTTAAAAACCAAACCACTATTAAAGAACGAAGGAAGGCAACGTTGCCAGCGGCAACTAAAAAAGAAATTGGGATTTAAGTCACAACCTTTAAGATTGAAAATATTGTGAAAGAAAATTTAGATGAAGTAGCATTACTTATTGTTAAGGTAAAAGATAGCAACCCAATTCGGGAAAAACTAATCCAAAAAGAATTTGTTGTTTAACAGTTGCAGTCAGCGTTCATTCATGACCAAAAGAATAGTCAAACAAATCAGCATTCCAGGATTTGGGTGGGAAAGGATGTAATTGCACACGTTTGCGGCATTTGATTCCATTCAATTTATGCTCGCTGAAGCTAAATCTAATTTACATTTATCTAATGGCACTTTGAAGAAATTATGTCTTCACGTCTTCAGTAATATGACGACTAAATTCTATATAAGCGTGAAGGGTAATCACGGAGTGACAATGGCAGGAAGAGCTGTAGAACCACATATACTGATTGGAACAGACTATTGTTGGGAGTTAACTGATTTAGGTCTGAAACGGATGAATGACGGGTTGTTTGTATTCCCTATGAAAATAGGTAAAACGTTAACTGCAAGACAAGTTCTCAACCAGAAAGAGGGTGCGACAACAAATAATGCCGTAGCGTGTTATTCCATATCATCAGCGTCAGAAAGATTTTGGGGTTTAGAGACGCTTGGTATAAAAGAACCATCTAAGTCGGGTGACGACGATCAAGCAATGAAGCAGTTTTATCAAACGCTTAATTTTCAAAATCATCGCTATGTAGTGAGTTGGCCCTATAAAGGCTTTAAACATCAAGTTCCGAGTAATTATCAGTTATGTTATTTCCGTCTGATAAGTGTTGTTAATCGACTTATGCGAGAGCATCTATTAGAAAAGTATGACGATATAATATAGAATCAGCTGGCTGTAGGAATTACTCAGAAAATCCAAGAAAGTGAAGCGCCACACAATGTATCATACCCCCCTCATCAAGCAGTGATCACGGCGGGAAAAGAAACGACAAAAGTCACAATCGTCTACGATGCCTCAGCTAAGTCGGAAAAAATGCATTAATTCTTAATGAGAGTCTCTACAGGGGTTTTGTAATGTTACCGGAACTCTGTGGAGTACTATTACGATCCCGCACATAAACTAATGTTGTTATTGCAGACATTTAAAAAGCCTTTCTCCAAATTGAGCTCCAAGAAGTGGACCGAGATATGACTCGATTTTACCGGTAAAGATTATAAAAGGAGGTGTGTACACGGAAAATCTTGTTACTTATAGATTTCAAAGGATAGTGTTTAGAATAATATTGAGTCCATTTCTTCTAACGGCTATTGCCACTCATGGTTTGAAAAGGGAATTCGAAGAGATGTCTAAAGAAAGCAATGAACAAGTTTTCTCTTTAATTCGATTTCTTTGTTTTCGCGTTCGTAATGTTTCGTTAACTTTCAAGCTTGTTTGTCGTGCTTCACAGCAAGTGTCTTGCAAATATTCTATTTTTATCTCAGTTTGTGATTTTAAGTTCACGTATAAAATATTGCTTTATTTTTCAACAAGTCGCTTGTCTTCCAAATTTATATTCAAGAAGGAGTGACAAAGGCAGTACAGTGTCGTGGGAGAAACTGGCGGTATTAGACTACGAAACCATATGCGTGGCGGCAAAGACTAGGCGAAGCTCTGCTACGTAAGTATTAGACGCCGATGACGCGGTAAATCCCAGTGCACTTAGAACAGCTCCAGTTCTACTACAGATTGAGACCATGGGAATGTTAAGACCGTTTGACAAGGCTGAGGTGAGATCCTATAAGGTGGCTCATTTAGGGACAATGGTCTAGGAAATATCCACCTATGGTACAGGTGAACCATGTCTACATCACTGCTATTTAAAAGCGTCGGTCCACGCACTTGATTTTTTCATCATGATGCGTGCTCAATCGTTTGCGATACCAACAGTCACGTAGCACGCAGATTTTAGCCCAGTGGTCGTACCAATACTAGTGATCGTACCAATACTATTAAAACTCAAGAAACAGCACATGTAAGGCGAGTGTTTACGAAACACTTAATAGAGGTAGGAATGATTTTGGAAGCGGAAGTGGCGCAGCTTAAATCAGAAAAACATTAGATTTCAAGGTTCTGGAGAAAGGAGGTCACGAGTTAGATATACACAGTACACAGAGTCTAGACAAGATATATACAAGGTATGTACACTTGGGTCAAACAGTAGCAATTAATGTACACTGAATTGGATGAAGCAAATTTATCAACCCCTCAGCACACTTCCAATGTGACGGAATGACTGTAATTCTTTTGACATAGTTATCTACTCTGATGTCTATGGCTTCCATTCTCCTCTTCTGTGGTCTATTTCCTTAACCAACATCGCATCACCGATTCATAGTGCGGCATCTGTCAGGCCACCAAATCTCCAGTGCGTTCCATAACGGGAAAGGTTTAGTCAGGAAGAAATTGTTGGAGTCGTTGATGCAGCTGAATGAGAAGAAAAAGAGATGGAGATTGATCAAGTTCAGAAAACTGCTAGGCATGACAGTTAAGTGAAACATATTCTGGTTAGAACACCATGAAACCTACTTCCAGTGACTGGTGAACAAGCACAGATCTTGGATTCAGAAAAAAACGGCAACCAGAAACTTTTGGTAGTATAAGCACCAGCTGGCGTCGATAAGACTTATATCATTCCTTTATGTAGCCGTAAACTATAGTAAAACCAGCAAGACGTAACTCTTGTTGCAGCACCTACTAATTTAACTATACAGAAATTAGTAGGGAAAGTTCTTAGCGAAATCAAATTTAAAAATGGAGAATTATTATCTTTGCAATCTTCATGCGATAAGACGACGTTGCAAAGCCAACAAAAACTACTTCCGTGGGAGCATTGTGCAATGACGGAAGTTTCGTAAAAGCACAAGCGCGCAGCGATCCTGGAGGCCTACCCACCATTCGCGAAACGATATGTTTCGAGACGTATTATCCATGACGGGAACACCTACAAGAAAGGCAAAGTGATCAAAACAGCAATGGAAATCTGCTATTCAAGGAAAGTATGCGGAACTGTCCCAACAATTCAGACTTTTACAAAGGATTGGGAGCAGTACTTCGACATAGAAAGATTGCTATACTTAGCAATTGATGAAGCAAGGTTTCCCATAATGTTTCTTTTTGGTATGACAGTGAATTTGCCCGAGATAAAGAAGGTTTTGGCCACTGGAGACCAGAAGCAGCTACCCTTCATACTGCAGTATTAACGGACAAGGTAATCAATACAGGTCACAAAAATGTCGTTCAAAAACTGTTGGAAAGAATGAGAATTGCCAGACAGTGAACTTCAGAAACTATCCTTCTCTAGTTTATCCGTATGATGGGTAAGTCGCACCAGCACAACAACAGTTAGACAAAATTAAATGGCGAACGTTGGGCTACCTCCGCGAACACTTCTTCTTTTTCTTTCTGCATGACTGCAGTTTTGCTTCGCAGCATCTGCCCCATATGCTCAGGGCTACAAGGACAACCAAGACAGCTGCGACGTAAACGAGTTGTTTCTGGTATATCAAGACCGTTTTCACTTTCCAATTTGATCCCGCACCAACACTGCAGTTGCGAAACGGTGGCATCCGCACGTGATCCCGTTGTGCATAAAGGGACAAAATGCGATACTGTGGCCTTCACGGTTGCTAGTACGAAACAAAAAACAGTGAGTGAAAGTAAAAGAAATTTTGAAAATGTACACCCTTAAAACCTTTGTGTTGTTTTATAAATGGCTGCTTATTTCATGCTTGGTTCTTTATCCTCGTCCGGTTGATCCGATTCTTCCATGTTGAGATCAGCAATGCGAGAATGTTGCGCTGAATCTCGTTCAACATCAACCGTTACTTCGAGCAGAAGAAGATGATTGAGTGGTCAAGCAAGTTTTTGCTGATTGGGTAGGACTACTTGTGCGCTTCGGATTTCGCCGTCTGACGACTGGTCAAACTCTTTAATGCGAGCTAGTTTCCACAGGCCTTTTGATCTGTGTTCTTTGTGAAGTAAGACAACTTCATCTATTTGAGAGCTCCGCCTTACTTCTCTGTGTGGGCCACGATGCATTCTTTGAGCACGCTTCCTGAGGAACTGCAAGTAGGATTGTGATCACAAGGTCTAGAAGAAGTTTAAGCATTGCTGAGACCTCTTCCATTATTGAATTAGGACTCCTCTAGAGGTAGGTGGTGAAGCTGGTTGCTCTTTATACAAATTTGTGACTCCTGATCGCAACTGAGACTCACTTCCGGATTCAAAAAATCAATCAACCTGATGACAGTTATTGAATCACTGTCTACATGTGTGATTGGCCGTTCACTGACAACGGCTTTGACTTCATGGAGAAGTATAACGAAGTCAGTTTCATTAAGGAGTTGCTTTCCAACTGCCTTTCTGAGCGCCATTTTTGTCAATCCGATAAGGCGTTCATGAGCTTCTCCTTTCCAAGGAGCCTTCTAGGTTATAAATTTCAGGTGATTTTCTTGTGTTGTAAACCTTTTGAAAACTTCTTGAAGTGTCTTAGCGGTGAGCTTCAAATCTGTCGCGTTGTCGCTGATAATGGTTTTCGGTTTGCCTCTCCTTGCCACGAATCTATGGAAAGGATGGAGAAGACTTTGCGCTGATAAATCCGTAGTTGCTTCTGGATAGACTGCTCGTGAGAGAAGGCAAGTATAAAGTGTGACCTCCGTTTTTGAGCGCCTGTTGTGCAGTCAACTGTTATCGGGCCGAAAAGATCGATGTCTAAATGAAAGAAGGCGCTTTTCGCTACAACTCGCGTTGCCGGTAAATCTGGCATGAGTAGTAGCTGAAATGGTTTGGCCTTCTATTTCTAACAAAGACTGCACTGCGCAATGAGTTACATGACCCAGTTTAACTTTTACAAATGAGGAGTTTACAAAAGTCGTTAGGAGAAAAGTTACAGACAATTGACCAAGCCCTTTGATAAGACGCCAGCTCAACCCGTCTTTGAGGTCAAAAACGTTGTTTTAAGGTCCTACTGAGTTCCTTCTTCTTCACTGACGATCTCCAAGTCTTTGAGTTTTGGGTTTCTTTTATTATTTAAATCCTATACTTTTCATAATATGTTATACTGTTACTTGCTATTATGAAAATTTCCATTTTTCGTAAAAAATAATAAGTGGATCAGCAAATCAGCCTAGCATAGTTGGCTTATTAGTCAGCCTATCTCTTACAGAGAGAAGTCGGACAGGAAGAACGCAGCCTTTTTTCCGAAGTTTCTTATACGGAGTGTCAATAGTGATCCACCCATTAATGCAACACGAAAGCAGGGATTTGTTTCAATGCTAATTGTGCTCGTCTTCTAAAAGCGCCCAAACTTTCCTCGAGAAAGAAGCTGCTACCAATACAAGACGGCAGCAATTACCTGAACGTGTTCATTGTCCACACTGTCTTCATTGTTGGTGTTTCTTATAATAACCAAGGTATCTCGGTTTTCTACGACCAGGTTTAAATAAAGTGGATCTCTAGCAAACTAGAAACCCAGCTCCCTAAAGGTTACAATGAATTAACGAGAACACAATCGTTCGCCGGTTTTTATTAGAATGGGCCGTTTGTGAATACGCTCTTTATTGAACTGTTGTTTGTTAAGGTTAATTTTCTCCGTCAGAAAAGTGATCAAATTGCCCTTGCTAATTACGACAGTTGACTATTCCACCCTTCTTACTTCTTCTTTCATTTCACTGTTCGTTTTGTTCCTCTCGTAAAACTTATATCCATTTCTGCGATACGTTGTTGAATCCTTCGGTTCTTTAAGTTACAAAAGATAGTATTACGTTTACCATCCTCAAGCCTTCAAAAAGATTCCTCAACAGCTGAAGACTAAAACAGTTAGTACTTCGTTTGATGGACTTCCC